TTGATGTGTGTCAGGCACCATTCTGGGTGCTTCAAGGACTGTCAATTTATTCTCCATTTAACAGCTCAGAAAACAGGAACAGGATTAGAGAGGTTGATAACCCCTCCCAGATCATGAAATTAGCAAAGGGGAAGAGACTGCATCTGAATACAGATCTAAGAGAGCTGAATATAAAAGAAAGCAAAGTTTCTTCACCTGTACAACGGGGATAATAATACCTTATAGGGTTGGTAAAAGGACTAAATGAGATAACATACCAAATAAGAACACAGTAGATACTCAAAAATAGTCAGCTCCTTCTAGCAAAGCCAAGACAAGAACACAAAAACTTCAGTAATGACAGAAACTGCCTTCAGTAGTGTTTTCATCTTCAAAAATGAAAAAGCCTATTTTTGTATTGATTTATATGTAATCATTTAAAAATTAAGTAAACATATCTATCAGATGAGTGATCTTCCTCTCTCTGAGCCTGAGCCTATGAGTAAGTGCAACTTGGAAAGTCTGTGCTCACCACTGGGCATGAGATAGAGGAGAAATCAAGTTAAGACTGGGCTGTTTTAACAGGTCAGAACTGAGCCAACAGACACTAGTGTGTGTGAAAACATTTGATCAAAGAATACTGATTTCAATTCAAGTCTATTTTTGACTTGTATTTCTTAAAGAAATTACTATTCAGATATGGCTAAAGTACTGCTCAGCTACAATTATCTAAAACTAAAAAGTCTAATTTAAAAAAAAAGAAATACTACTCAGGAGTCCTCCACACATTAAGTCAAAGCCTCCTCCTTCAATTTTCTAGGTAAGTGACCTTGACCAAATTCCCCAAACTCCCCGAGCCTGTTTGCCTCATCTGTAAAATGACCACAATAATAACTACCTCACAATTTGGTTGTAAATAATAAATGCAATTATATATGTATGGTGCTTAATGATAATAGCATTTATATAACATTTGCTATGTGCCAGTCACTAGTCTAAGCACTTGACTTATATTTATTTAACTTAGTATAGTGTTCACAACAACTTTATGAAATAGGTACAATTATTATCCTCATTTACTGATGAGAAATTAAGTAACTTGCCCAAGGTCACACAGCTAGAAGGTGGTAGAGCTGGATTCAGACCCATGCGGTCTGATTCCAGGGGCTGTGCTTGTAGCCATTGAGGGATATCTGCTCCTGAGTAAATGTTCAATACCCAATACTTGTGGCTGCATTAAGTGAATAATCATCCTTTTAATTTTACATCATTTTATTTGTTTCCATTTTAAGAGAACTTTGTCGAAAAGGCGAAATAAAATACAGACAGCTCTTTACACGCCAGGAAGCCACGAGTCAGTAACAATATACTCTACTCTTCAAGCCTTCAGGCCTTGGCCATATGATACCTGCTCCCCTAAGCATCCTTCTCCTCCCACTTTCTTCACCTGTTTTCCTGCTCAGCTGTCAAATCTACAGCTGGTGATTGGAAACACCAATCACACTGTCACAGCTCACTACTTGCGAGTGTCTTCAAAGAGGGCTATCTTTTTCTCTGGCTATCTTCCAGCATCCGGTGCAGGACCACCCAAAGTGTGTGCTCAATACATATAGAATGAAGAAAATACAGGTAAATATGAGATATGTGTTCAAGAAGAGATGGAAAATTTTAACAAGATGGTGAGATCTCCAATATACTGTGATTATCTTTTTATGTAACAGTGAGATTGGAAAAAATACACGATATGGTATTTTTTAGTAAGAAAATGCTCTGATATTTTATATTAGAAGTACATTTTGACTTAAAAATATCTGCAGGACATTATATATAGTATATTCTAAAACCAAAAAGACACTCTTTACCCAGTAAACACATCCCCACTCCTCTTGTGATTTTTGATACACATTTCTCAACTTCTGTGTTCATAGAATTATTCAATTTCATTTACATTAGCTATATATTTATATCATAACAATGTTTTTTTATTAAAACATAATTCTTAGCTAAAACTAAATTTGAGACAAATCATTTTTATATAATTTTGTGAAAACATTCTTATTCATAGGTTATATCCAAATGCTTGAGACCAGAAGTGTTTTGGATTTAAGAATTGTTTTGGACTTTGGAATATTTGCATAACACACAAGGAGATATCTTGGGGATGGGACCCAACTCTGAACACAAAATTTACTTATGCTTTATTATACACATAGCCTAAAGATAATTTTATATAATATTTTTAATGATTTTGAGCATCAAACAAAGTTTGTATTAACTGCTTATGTGTGGAATTTTCCACTTTTCGTGTTGGTGCTCAAAAAGTTTTGGATCTTGGAGCATTTTCGGATTTCAGATTTTTGAATTAGGGATCCTCAATCTGTAACACAGCTTCCTAGTGTGTAAAGAGGGGCTACAGGAAAGATATGGGCATGGGGCATGGAATGCCCTGAAGTTTAGATTTAAGGATTTTAAATATGAGAATATCTAAATATGATCAGATCTATATTTTAGAACTTCTTCTGGGAGAAGTGTGGAAAGTGAACTGGATTTAAGAAATTTGGAGGCAGTTAAGTGAAATAAATCAGGCACAGAAAGATAAATATCACATGTTCTTACTTACATGTTAGAGCCAAAAACTAGAGCTCATAGAAGGAAAGAGAAAGAGAGGATTTTTTTAAGAGATAGGGTCTCACCTGTTGCCCAGGCTGGAGCACAGTGGCAGGACCATAGTTCATAGTTCACTGCAGCCTCGAACTCCTGGGCTCAAGTGATCCTCCCACCTTGGCCTCCCAAAGTGCTGGGATTACAGACGTGAGCCACCATACCTGGCCTAGAAGAGAGGAGAACCCTATCCCTAACTCTCAACGCAAAGAAACAAATGTTTGAGGTGACAGATATGCTAATTACCTTGATTTGATCATTATATATTGTATACATGTATTGATATACCACTCCATATCCCATAAATATGCATAAAAATACTATGTGTCAACTGAAAATAAAGGGAACAAAAAACCGTCCTTATAAAAAAAGAAAAAAGAAAAAGAAATTTGGGAGCAAAGAAATAATTCAGGAGGCTAACTGCTGTTGCTATGACAGGAAAATATAAAAGTCTGAACAAAGACAGTGACAGTGGAAATTGAGAGGAAGGAAGAGGATCAAAGAGTACTAACTGTGCCCTAGACCCCAGCCCTTCCTATGTTCTAAAAAAACTGTTCCTCACATTTTTCTATATCTGATATGTATTATTTATTAATATTTCAGAAGCAATAAGCTGAAACTAATATTTATTGTGTTATTACTCTGCGCCAGGCACTGTAGTAGTGCTTCATATGATTTATCTAATTTAATTTTCACCAAATTTTTATAGGAACTACTACTTTATAGTAAGGAATCTGGGGCATAGAGAGTTAAAGCCACTTGCCCAAGGTCACACAGCTGGTCAGTAGCAGAGACAAGATCCAAACCCATGCTGATGCTTGTGTGCCTCACCCACCCACCGCCAAACTGCTTCCTGTTCTTCTAGTTCACACTCTCCTTGACTCCTGGCCTTTTCATCTGAATCAATCCTCCCTATCTTAAAAGAAAAACTTATTTGCCCTCTAATTTTTCCAACTACTGTCCAGTCTGTTTCTTTCCAGGTAATGTCGGTCTGGAGTCCACGGCAATACCTGTCTTCTCACCAGCCATTTTCTCCTTACATGTCAGCCGTTTGCTTTCTGTGCCTTCCAGAGTTACCCATCCTAATTATTGTCCTGATAGATTCAAAGCATTTCTCCACCCTTATTTCCCTTGTGCTCGTCAGAGTACTACGCATTGCTAACCACTCCTTTCTTCGTGAAACTCTTTCTCCGCATCAGAGCTGCAACACTCTGCTCTCCCGACATATTCCGTGTCCTGCCAGCAGTCCTTTTGTGTCTCTTTTGCCAGTTCCTTCCTGATGAAGGAACTGTTCCTTTTGTGCGTGCCATTAGAGGAGCTGGGGTTTTGTTTGTTCCTTTTCTTTTGTGTGTGTTTGTGTGTGTGTGCGCGCGCGCGCGTCCTCCGCTGTTCTCTTTCAATATAATACCTCAATTTACTCTTCACAACACAATTTTAATTATCATGACGGAATATAAATGCCTATCTTCCTATCTTAATTTCCCAATTTTTTTTCAAGACCTAATTTCAAATCAACTTTAAAGGCTTTGCTGGCGGCTTACCAGCAACATACGTTTTACACAGCATCCCCAAACGCCCTTTCTCTGCTGAGCCAGTCACCTACCCCAGTGTCTCCTCCTGCAAGCAGGCGGAGAAGATATGCAAAGAAGTCATTCTGCTGTTAGTCTAGGTCTTTTGCCCAACTCCCATTTTCCCCGAGTGCTTAGATGTCTTTGTTCAAGAAAATAAATGCCAACCAGTTAAGCTTGCAGAATTAAAATTGAAGCCTGCAGCTGATACAATGAGAAAAAGAGACTAGGTCAGCGGAAGAGCCCGAGCTGGATGCGTCTCAGCACACCGCTAGCACTCCAGTTCCTGGAGGGCGAAGAACCTCTGTCCCAGACTTAACTCCAAGCCTCCAAAGCTGGTATGACTCAACGAGTGAGCATTCCGTTGAGCCAACAATTTGCCAAGCTGCCAGCGACTCTGGAAGTCCCGTGCAAGTCGACGATGACGGTTCTCGCGGGGGCACTCTCGAAGATGACACACAGTTGACACTGCTCAGAAACAGCAGTGCCAAAGGGATTCTTAAAGTCCCAGCCTTGAAACGGTACGATTCGGGGTTTTCGAGTCAGAGCGCAGTGTGCTCTTCATCTCCGATATCGGTACAAGTGGGTCAAAAACACAACTAAGTAAAAAACGACAACGTTAACTACCGCTGCTCTCCACCCCCGCAGCCATGGTCGCCAGACGGGAACTCACACGAAACTTTTGAGACAAAAGAGCAACATCCCTAAATTTTATTTTTCTTCCTGGGGAGGGTGGGGGGCGGGCAGGAGGAGGTGTCCAGGCTCCCCAGCCTCTGCTCCGCTTTCCTCCTGCAGGGCTTGTCTTCAGGACACCGCAGGAGACTCTCCTTCGGAAATCAGCTGTGTGCTTTCCTGCTGCGGGCGCGCTGCCAGTCGCCGCCAGAGGCCCAGGGGAGGCTCCCACCGGGCTGGGCTGCGAGCCTCCGAGGCAGAGATCGCGGAGCTCGGCGCCCCGGAGCGCTCAGGGCCAGGTGACACCGTCGCGGGCTCCCCGGCGCCGGCTTGACAGTTTCCTCCCCGCCCACCGGCAGGAGAGCGCCCGGCCGGGGTGCACGCGCGCGCAGGGGACAGAAAAGCCGCGGCCGCGCGGAGACGCGGAGCTCGCCCCCCGCCCGCCCCGCGGCAGCCGCAGCCACCATGCACGTCAACGGCAAAGTGGCGCTGGTGACCGGCGCGGCGCAGGGCATAGGCAGAGCCTTCGCCGAGGCGCTGCTGCACAAGGGCGCCAAGGTAAGCGCGGCGCCCGCCCGCCCTGAGACGCGCCCGGCGCGAGGGGCTCTCGGGGAGACCCGGGGGCTGCTCCCCGCGTGGCCGCCTTGCCGCCTCCAGAAGCTGCGGAGGCCGTGGCTCCCGAGCAGACCTCGAAAGCGGCCGGGAGAGAACCCCAACTTTAATTGCTGCCTGTCAGGTCCAAGAGGGGAGCCTCTCGTTTATGGTTTGTCCGTCTGTCTGTCGTGTGAGTCTCAGCCTTGATTCCTCCTCTCTTGTCTATAGGTAGCGCTGGTGGATTGGAATCTTGAAGCAGGTGTAAAGTGTAAAGCTGCCCTGGATGAACAGTTTGAACCTCAGAAGACGCTGTTCATCCAGTGCGATGTGGCTGACCAGGAACAGCTGAGAGGTAAGACAGGGAGCACGTCCTGAACAAGCAACAACCTGAAGGCAGCCCTGGCCAGACAGACAGCCAGCCTGCGGGCAGCCCGCTCGGCTACCTCCTGGAGAGCAGCTACCTTTAAGCTGCAAAAGATAGCTTGGACTGTTATGTTTCCTACTGACAGCCCGAGAGCCACAAAAACTAAGGAAAGGCAAGACTGCTTGAGAAATCCTTTTATTTTAGTCGTTTGGCAGCACATAATGTAATCAAAATTCCTTTGTGTATTCAAAGACAGTGCTGCTACAGTAATTATTAAGTGACTGAAATTTCAGATGGAACTTGGAAGTTAAAGTAGGCTAAGGGACTCAGCAAACAACTTAAGCTGGAGTCAAATGACAATCAAATGTGGCAGTGTTTTCCTTTTAAACTTTTTGGAATACGAGTTTAAGGATCATCATCACTGAAGCGCTGTGTTTTTAACACGTTTTCTCTGGCTTTTTCCCTATAAGATGGTACTTTAATAATAATAATAATAATAATAATAACAACTGTGCAATGTTAGAATTGCAGAAGAAACATCTCAATAAGCCTTTCCTCAATGCTTTCCTGTTTCTGCCTGCTCACTTAAAATAGTCCAATCAACTTGTGAAATATCAGGGACAATATAGACATAAACAATAAACAGCTCTGATTGTATAGAGGCCCAAGAGATTTGCATGAACAAATAATTTCAGGGAAAAAATAGAAATGTAAAATATTTGTATTTCACAAAGTTTTGTTTAAAGAGACTGAGTAAATTGTTAGGCACATTTTTAATCAAGGGGTCAGATAACTTTCATGAAGTTCACTCTAGTGCTCCTGTTCTTAAAGGGACACGAGGTGTAAATTTCTTTTAAAATATAAAAATGGTCTGTAAGACAATGAAAATGGACTGGTGTGTTAGAAGGTTAAGAGAAATTGTTGTAAAGAAAATTAGATAATTAAATCTGAAAATGCTAATAAAGACCTGTGACATAGATTACAAGCATGAGTAGAGCCAATGTGTAAACACAGTGCTGGTGCAGCATATTTTGCCAGAGGATAATTTTGTTGATTGCATGTGATATTTTGGATCAAGGATAGAGTCAGGTCAAATCTCAACATCCATGCTGATGGAATAAGGAAAAGCATAGATAATCTGAAAGCCATTTCTCTCTTAATTTATGTAGTTTCACATGTGACATTTAACCTCAATTGTTTCACTTCCAGTATTTAAAATTAGTACCTTGGATGTAAACACATTCCTTAAGGATAAGTGATCGTGGAGGAGGAAACTCAGACACATAATGAGTGATCAGGGGGAGGCACATTGGTCATGAGAAATCCACATGTGTCTGGACATCAGCATTTATTTACATCTAAGGAAAACATGGCACTGATTCTTCCAATTTCAGGATTCAGTTTATAAACTGTTTAGACACATTGAAATAATAAAAATACAGAGGTGAAAAGGTTCTTGGAGATGATCTAGACATAACTCATTTTACAAATGAACAAATTGCAGCCCAGAGAGTTTAGGTAAATTATAAAGAGTACTACAGCATATAAATATCAGCAAGAGCTAGACTGTAAGTCACCTGAGCCCAGAACTCAGTGGGCTGTCAGGAAGAACATGGTGTATTATATATTGGTAAGGGCAGAGTATGCAGTAATGCAGTGGAGACCAGCATGAGGAAGAAAATTAAAGAAGCAATTAGACATACATATTTAACAACCTAATGTCTCATGAGGTGGGGACTGTCTCTGTGGAGTTATAAAGAGTAGTAGAACATACTTAGAATGGAAGGGAAAAAAAGAAAAATTAGTTTCCTGGAGGACCTTTTCTGGAAACAACTTGAGATCTTAAGAAACAATTTAAAAATTCCATGAAAAAGTAAACAGTTTTTATGCTGTGTTTTCTATTCTGGTATAGTAAGTGTAAAGGATGCATATTAGAAAGTCTTGATGTTTTTAGTGATTAACTTGCATAGTAATTTATCCATTTGGGAACTGATTAATCCATGTCTTTTCTAATATGTTTAATGGTTGCTAATAATTCTATGAGTTTATTTCAATCAAAATAAAGTTTATGTTTTTCAAGGACCTCATATGTTGACCTGGAGATCTGAGAATACATTTCTGTCTTACAGAAAAAGAACCACAATTGTTATCTATAATCTAAAGTAATAGAACTAGAATGAATGGTCAAAGGCCCAAGGAAGCATTTTAAATCAATAGAACAATGTAAAAGACTGCTTTTAAAAATGAGTCTGTCAATATTAAGGTGGTAAAAGCTAGTTTAGACTGGCTAAGGAGAGTTTGCAGGGACTGGGTGTGTGGTTGGACATTCAGGCCTCAAAATCCATGCAAACTTTATCCTAGTTCAACATAGTTTCACGTAAATTAGCAATATAATGTACTAATAATAGTGAGATGGAGGAAAAAAGTAATCAAATAAAACCACCTGAATGAAAAGTAGATTTTTACTTAGTAGGATATAGAAACTCTTCTGAAATGCTCATAATGGATCTGAATATACAGGAAAACTTGTGTTACTATAACACTTTATGAACATAATATGGCTTATTACAAAGGCTGTTTGTCATAGTCTAAGCTACAGAGCTCCAATAACTTCTTAGAGTCAGAGAGATGCTGGCTGCCCAAACTGACTTCAAAGAGCTCTTAGGTTGGGATGCTCAGTTCTCTAAAATTTACCCGATAAAGTTACTGATCATAGAACTTAAATGTGCATACAAATCATTTCAGACTATATTAAAGTTAAGATTCTGATTCAGTAGGTCTGTGGTGTCTGCAGGATTCTGCATTTCTAACAAGCTCCAAGGTAATGCTGATTGATGCTGCTTGTCCAGAAACCACCCATTGAGAAGCAAGGAATTAAGTCACAGCCCATGAGTGTAATTTTCACATGAGGGTAGATAAATAAAAATTCATGGCATGGCATAGGATGTGATTTAAATGTTTACATGTAAAATAAGAATGTACCTATACATTTTTTTTTAATTAGATACTTTCAGAAAAGTTGTAGACCACTTTGGAAGATTGGACATTTTGGTCAATAATGCTGGAGTGAATAATGAGAAAAACTGGGAAAAAACTCTGCAAATTAATTTGGTAAGCTTTCTTAGTCATGTTTGTTGCCTAAAATTATTTGATAACATGATGTTTATAAAGAAAGAAAGGTTCTTACATTTACAGAAACAAAACAATGACCTACAATACAGAAAATGTATAGTTATAGAACACTAGAAAAAAGCATTTCCTTTTACAAATAGGAAGGCATTTAATTATGAAAGTATATGTCTTAAAACATCAAAAGGAAATGTGAACGAAACACAATGGATTGCTTGCCTCAGAGGCTGGCAAACTGTAACCCGCAGGCCCTATGGCCTACCACCTATTTTTGTATGACCTGAAAGCTAAAAATGGCTTTTACATTTTTAAATGGTTGAGAAATTCAAAAGAAGAAGAATATGAGAAGTATGAACATGTGGAATTCAACTTTCAGTGTCCATAAAGCCTTACTGGGACACAGCCACAGTCACTGATTTCTATGTTGTCAATGGCTGTTTTCATGCTACAACAGTGGAGCTCGATAGCTGTGACAGAGACTGTGTGTCACGCAGTGACTAAAATATTTACAACCTGGCCCTTTACAGAAAAAGCTTGAGAACCCCTGATTTATTTATTTAAAAAATAAATCTTAATTAAATGCCAGGAATATAACAGAAAACAAGGTTAAAGGGAAAATGGAACTTTGGAATCAGTAAGATTTTTATCCTGAAAGTCAAGGTGTATGTATATATAATTTCCATGACGTTTGATGACTAGCTCTTACTTAAAAAGGCAGACTTAAGAAATAAAATTTTCTGTTTTATCCATTATACCGTGAGTTTGTTGATTTTATCATTCTATAAATGCTCTTGACGTAAGATATCGGGGTTTAGTAAAACTCAAACCTTAGCTAAAGCAAAATGTCAGATGCGCTGTGATGGGGTCACCCTGCCCTTGTTAAGGCCATGACTAGCCTTGCAAAGCAGACGAGTGTAAAGTGTAATGGGGCCACTGTGTGTGTATAAAACTATAGGGAGTGGCCTCCTACTTCAAGATTTCCTCCAAGGAGATTATAAACTCCTAAAAACAGAAACAGTGTTGTGTTTTTCTTCATTCCTCTCACTAATCAACACAATATCTTAAAGATAGTGCTTAGTCAATAATTTTTTGGCTTAAATTCAAATTCCCATGAGTAATTACTTAACTGCAATAGTAGCTTGGTAGAGGTAATAAAAATTTTACTATCTCATGAAAGAGCTTAATCTGTAAGCCTCACCTTGATAAGGGTACAAAATTGCTCCCTAAACTTGACAGATGCCTAAAATCCTTTAATCAACGGCGGTGCTATATTAGAGTACAAACACCCCTCCTTAAATTTTCTTCTAAAAATTTACTGCCAATGTTCCAGGTCCATTATATTTGAAAATAACTTGAAACTGGCAAGTTTTCTTTAAAATCTTTCTGAGGTTCTAATTTATATATACATATATAAAATATATATGTATATATAAATTAGGTAGTAATGTAGTAAAATAAATGAAATATTTTCTGTAAACAATACTTACATCTCTTGGCTAAATCTTTATTATGGTACATGAATGTTTAAGATACCATTGAATTTTCTTACTTAATACCTAATTGAATATTTGTGTGTCTGTGCTTAAAAATGATAATTAGCTTATAATTTTCTTTTCTTTTAATGTTCCTGTTTGGTTTGGATGTCAATTATGCCTTAGCTTACTTTTATCTCCCTGATCTGTCAGTTTCTGAACAGAAGGTATTCATATCTCAAATGACAAATATCTGTTTCCCTACCTCTTTCAGTAATTCTGTAGCTTTGGAATCTATATATTACACACCTTTTAATATTCAGAGCATAAATTGCTAGTGATTATAATTTATTGCTCTTTTGATTTGATTTTTGAAAAAGTTATACTCCTGCTTACCACCTGTGATGTGTTTGACCTATTCTATATTTCCATATATAAAATTGGTACCCCATCATCTTCTTTTGATTCATATTTACCTAAGTATATTTTTTTCCATTTATTTATTTTGAAAATGTAAGCAACCTTTTATGTTAAACTTGTCTCTTCATGATGGTATATTGTGAGAATTTATTTTTATTTATTTATTTATTTTTTGAGACAGAGTCTCACTCTGTTGCCCAGGCTAGAGTGCCGTGGCATCATCCTCGCTCACAGCAACCTCAGACTCCTGGGCTCAAGCTATCCTCCTGCCTCAACCTCCCGAGTAGCTGGGACTACAGGCATGCGCCACCATGCCCGGCTAATTTTTTCTATATGTTTTTAGTTGTCCAATTAATTTCTTTCTATTTTTAGTAGAGACGGGGTCTCGCTCTTGCTCAGGCTGGTCTCGAACTTCTGAGCTCAAACAATCCGCCCGCGTCAGCCTCGAGAATTTATTTTTAAAATCACATCTAGGAACATCTGCCTTTTTTATATTTGGGAAATTAAGCCATTTATATTTATTTTTACTCATCTATTTTATACTTTAATATTTGATGTTTTCTTTTTGTTTTGATTCTTTTTCCATTCCTTACCTAAATACACTGGAAAGTTTAATTTTCTTCTGCTGATAAGAAAACCATACATATTATATGTAATCTTTGGTGATTACCTCTGACTTATTAAGAACCGTACTTCATTACATCCTTTGGCCACCTGATAATACTGAGACTTTGAATATATAGCCAACTGAAAACTGTAGGAATTTTTAAGAATATGTATTTATAGACTTATGCCACTTTCCAAAACCTCATAAAGTGATGAGAATTTTTTTGAATCAGGCTATCCCAGTGAAAAATTGCATAGCAGCTTTCTCCCTTTGGAATTGCTATTGATATTTTAACTGTTTCATTAGTAATATCTACAGATATTTTTATAAATAAAGATTACTAGGATATAATTCCTATATTCAATGCATTCATAATGGACACTTACTGTATCTTTTCTTTGAGAAATTAGCTGTTACAAACAGTATGCGATGATTAGAGTGAATATAAAGAAACAAGAAAGTAGTGAAGCAGTTATTACAAAGGTACAGGATTCGAATTGTCTGTCTTCATCCAGCTGAGAGAGCATATTTGCTTTAATGTAGCCCATGTGAATAAACACCTGCTCCAAGCTGGAAAGTACCTACATCATGTGGAAATAGGAAATTCTGGAAGACCAGGGGAATTTTACTGTGACCCCTCTGGTTACAACTAGCTCTCCTGGATCCTTCTCCATTGAAATTTAGCCAGTCTTTTTTTTTTTCCCCTTGGGACTCTGCTGACATATGCTACTTCTTAGGTTAACTTCAACAATTAATGATATTTGTTTAATTTTTTATAGAACAATGCATAACGTTTGTTACTCATCTATAACTTTAAAGTGTATTACTTTCCCTCCTACCTACACCCATTGCAAAGGTAGATTAGAGTCTGACCAATCATTGTCCCTTTCAACTTGATTATCTCTGTTAGCACAGTGCAAATATTTGTAGGTAGTCTATATAACCTTTTTTTAGACTCTGCTCTGACTGTAATCTGCCTCCTTGGATCTTATACACTTACATGTTTGTTCTTTTATATATTTCTCCATTTTACTGCCCAGGTGAGAGAGTAACTACTTAGTTAGAGGACTTCACCACATATCTCTCCCTCTTCTGAAATCTTATACAACATATCTACGCCATTCTCAAAGAGCTTGCCAGTTTTTCGATTTTATTTGAATTATTTTTATCCATATGTAATTTATGCTAGTAAACTATACATTCTTTTAAGGCAAAAATATTGTGTTCTTACAGAGTAGATGTTAACTAATATTCATTGGATAAACTGCCAATACATGATTTTTGCATACATAGGTATTCATTTCTGTGTTTTAGTACAATGTTTAGATGATTTCTAATACATCCATGCTGCCAAACAGTATCATCCTTATCAGAATAAGGAAGAGGTAAGTTTGGTAACTTACCTTCCGCTTTTCCTCCTTACTGAACTCACCCCTTCCTTATTCTTCACTCTGCTGAGCTCATCATTCTTCCCACACAAGAGACACGCTAAACCTCTTCCCAGTCTTGTTTCCATCAGGCTCTTCCACGCTTCCTCCTTAGTCTGAAGCGAACAGCAGCAGCATTATTTACGTATGCTCAGAGATCACAAAGAATGTTCAGGAAAGAATGAGGTTTTGCAAAATCATCAAAGGTCACTCTGGCAATTGGGCAGAGGTTGACTTGACTTTGAATATTATTCCAAGTTAAGTCCACCTTAACTTTGGGTAACTCTGCTCAGTGTACTTCTTTTACTTTAACCTTTTTTTTTTTTTTTTGAGACAGAGTCTGGCTCTGTTGCCCGGGCTAGAGTGCCGTGGCGTCAGCCTACCTCACAGCAACCTCAAACTCCTGGGCTCAAGCGATCCTCCTGCCTCAGCCTCCCAGGTAGCTGGGACTACAGGCATGCGCCACCATGCCCGGCTAATTTTTTCCTTATATATGTATTTTTAGTTGTCCAGATCATTTCTTTCTATTTTTTAGTAGAGACGGGGTCTCACTCTTGTTCAGGCTGGTCTCGAACTCCTGACCTTGAGTGATCCACCCGCCTCGGCCTCCCAGAGTGCTAGGATTACAGGTGTGAGCCACCGCGCCCGGCCTACTTTAAGTTTTTGAAGCTTTAATAAACCTAAATAATTCATCTCCACTGAGGTGGGACTCATAATCTAATTTGGACATATAACTAACAGGTCCTGAATCCCTTAGTATATTCAAATAAAAATTAAACAAAATAGATGGCTATTGCTGGTGATTTTTTTTCAGAAATACATTTGTTGCCTAAAGATTTGCACTGCAAGAGATATATGCATTTTGAATTAGTCCAAATTAGAATTTAGTCTTAAATCTACAGTTTATGAACTGTTTTTTAATTTCTCTGATATTGAATTTCACAGTTTGTGAATGGGAGAAGGTAAACTTCCTTCCTCTAAGGACTGTTAAGCTTAAATAAACCGTAGTTTATGTGAAGCATTCAGCACATTGCTACTGAAGAGTATTCATTCAATAAATAGCATTTCCTTTCCAGAGCATCAAAACCTACATTTTCTCACTATCTTATTTTTATATGCGGTGAGTTCCTCTGCCTCCCTCTATCTCTAAAGAAGCTGAGGAAAAGGACAGAGACATTGTTCTCAAATGTGCTCCCTTTTCTTGGCTCCAAAGGATGTTGATTACAAACTAAATTAGAAACTATTTGCTGCCATTGCTACTCTATAATACTGAAAATCCAGTTGAACTACACATGGTTTACAGAGTTTGCTTAATTGTAAGTAGCTCCAGCAAGGGGAAGACAATAATATTTATCCCTAAAACAAGCAAAAAATGGTAACATTTTGAACATGATGAAAAAATAAAGAATGAAAGGGATTTTTAAAAAATGGTCATCTATATTAGTATTTCTTGAGAACTGGGCTGGAGAAAACACAAAGAACTTGAAAAGCAAGGTGGCATGATTTATATACCAGAACTTAAAAAAAATAAAAAAATTACAGTAGAGTGAAAGAACCATAAATAAACTAAAAGGAACCTCAGCATGGAGGAAGATGAGATAGAGGAAATGGAAAAATAACAGATTGGAAATTTCAGTAGTGAAAATGTGTGTGTGTGTGCGTGTGTGTGTGTGTGTGTGTGTGTGTGTTGTAGGACGACATGATTCCTGATAAGAAAAGAATGAAACAAGTAGGCTATTACCATTTGTCCATTTGTTTTAATTACGAGAGAATTTTTCCCAGTGGAGGGGAATTTTTGACAGTTGTTTTAAGTTATTGAATGCTTTAATTCGTGAAAAAAAATAAGATTTAGAATACAACCCAATTACAATTTCAGTATTAAATATAAAAGTCATCTTTTTATAACCAAAAATATGGAGTAAGCATGTTAATTAGATCATTTTGCCAATAATTGAATGTTTTAGTTCTCTATGTGAAATCAGACATAGAATAAATAAATATGTATATGATCTAGGATAAGGAAGAGATTGTTATAGTAAAGTAAAAGAGGTGAAAAATATCATCTCTGCACAGCCATAGCAAAGACCTTGTCTTGTAGATTGAGTCTATGAACGCTTTCATTTGAAAAGCTATTCAGTTCTTAACCTAATAATAATCCCTTGCCCTCCTCCACCAAAGACCTAGAAATAAATCTTGCTTTTTAAAAAAATTAAAAATAAAATTTAAACATGCCCAAGTTTTCTATCTGGCTACATCTTATAGATGTTGCAAACACAAAAGCAGAGTGTCAGCAAAGCTGTAAATACCTGAGAATAAAAGCATAGCGCCAATACACATACACAGAAATTCTGTTCAGACATGCTGGAGACTTGGGCAGAAACTAACAGAATCTAATTGACTTCAGTAATTTCAGCCATCTACATTTTTTCCTTCTTATATAAACAATTAATGTTTTGTTTTTCATTTTTAAGGGAGATTTTATTCATTCTCCCTAAGCCTACTTAATATCAAACTGACACATGGCTTAAGTGAATACAGTCTTCAATTTACTTCTTTCTTCTAGAACTACTATTAGGTAGGAGAGGCATCTCTGAAAGCTTGTCAAGAAAATTCCAGAAGGACTTTTTAAGATAAAACAAAGGTAAACACCAGTGTGTGCCCTCAGTTTCAGACTCATTACTTATTGTATCATTTTCTGTGCAGCATTGTGAAGCATGAAAAAAATAGGAATTAAGATGTCAAAAGGGAATTTTCACTTTTTATAAGTCTAAGCTGGAAAGAAGGCGTTCTTAAATCTAAAAGGAAAAAGTAAGGCTTCAAATACCAATTTCATCTCACAGGTTGTTTTTGGTTGTGGTGAATTCTTAAATGTTAGAATAAAAACAGGAAAAGTGCCTATACATGGAGGTAAGTAGCAAAAGAGTAAACTGTGGAAAGGATAGCTGTAAGCAGTGATGAATAAAATTAAGTGATAGACCACATGTCCAAGTCATTGAAAATCCTCACTCAAACTGGATAAAATAGTTACATGATTTCACACAACACGGAGTTCAGGATCACCTGATACTGCAGATCAGTGATATCATAAGGGCTCAGGGTCTCTTCATCTCTCCCACCTGCATCCTTTAAGTTGGCTTCACCCTCAGGATGCTGGCAGATATGAGTTGTCCGTTCCAGTCATGGCACCCGTACGCACAATGAAAAGGCGGAAATGTAACCATTTGTCCGTGGCCTGCTTAAGACCAAGTAAAAGTTTCTCAGCAGTATCCCACCCCCAACCTGTGGCTCATTGCCCCTAAAGTCTCACTGACCAGTACTGGGTCACATGCTGGCACCTAAACCAGCCACTGTCAAAAAGAATGGGATTTCCATGACGGAATTAGATCAATCAGTGTCTAGTCTACACTGGAGATTTCACCTTCCTCTATACTACTTGGAGAAGTGGTAGATACAAAGCAAAATAGAATTTTTATTAGAAAGAAAAAAGGAGAAAACTGTAGGAAACCAGGATACCCACTATTTTATATTCCAAGGTCTAAGAGAACTAAACGAAGCAGATGACTGTGAAATACTTGGACATGAGAACCACGTGCTAAGAACCACATGCTAAGAAGATGGTTAAATAAATTTTGTATCCAATATTTAGAAAACAAAAAGCACATATAGAATTATTGAAGATGCTAAGAATTGAGTTAAAATGCCCAAGCACTATTGGAACACAACCTGTATTATAAAAATCTCGTATTGGACAACTAAGTGAAGTGAAGTGAAGTGTTGCAGAGAGATGATCAGCTTCACAACTGTTAGGCAAACAAAAGAGAATCCAGGGTCAGTGACCAGCTTTTAAAAAAAAGAAAAAGCCCTTTGAAAACATTTCATTGATAATATTTGCAGAAATCTCCCTATGTGGCTGGAATAATAATAAAAACTTTGGTACGTGAAGGATAATAGCTATGTTGCTTTTCTCATTTATGCCTCTGGATTAGGTTTCTGTTATCAGTGGAACCTATCTTGGTTTGGATTACATGAGCAAGCAAAATGGAGGTGAAGGCGGCATCATTATCAATATGTCATCGTTAGCAGGTAAGGGCAGTTACGTTAATAGTCACATTTTCTTAGTGGTAATTTGGACCACAAAAATAAATCTTCAAGGTATATTTATCATCAACTCAGGTTTGAAGTTGAAACTTTGTTTGATTTTTTCTAATACTTCTCTGGAATTTTTAATTGCATAATATCAAAAGTTTGAACTGTATGTTTATTTCTATTATTTAAAATTAAGGCTTTTTAAGTTATCTTACTGCAGTACTATTTCTTTAAAAATTTATATATATTTTCCCAAAGTTACCATTTTTTTAGAGGTTGTTATGAAACTCCTAGGCAATCATGCATGTGAAAGCACCTTTGACAAAGTAAAAAGTACTAAAGTGAAGTGAAGATATCTCTGCTCCCATGTGATTTAGTAAGAGTGTGTAATTTTAAAATATGGCATAGATAGTACTTGGGATATTGTAAACTAATCAATAAACCCAAACATGTCATTTCTTACATGTAGCATAAGCTTATTCCTCACTCGTGTTACCAGCCCAGGGCAGGGTCCTAGTTGCAGGCCCCTCTTCTATGTGCAGTCATTTGGAAAACCTGGCTGGCAGAAGGTCCGCCACCTTCAACATGGAGTTCCCAAGGTTACTGTGGAACTGGTGGACTCTTTTCTCTCTAGCAGGAAGAGAAAAAGAACATGGAGGAGGCCTGACTGCTCACTTAAAACTCCCAATAGCAGACCTCACTTCTGTTTACAATCCAGTAGAGAACTTGATCTGCTGGTTCACCTAACTACAAGAAAGTCTGGGAATTTAGTCTAGCTTTGTGCCTAAGGGAAGAATGGATTTCAGTGGATAGCTAATCATCTTTGTCACACCTTGCAATCCTAAACTATGTTTTATTCAGCATGGTTTGATTTCATATCAGCTGATATCTCATTCCTCAATAAGTAGCTATAAACCTCTGAAAGATATTTTTAGAGCAACTTAGTCAAGTGACTTTACTTCTTAAAACTCTAGGAAGAAACCATCAATGGTTCTTGAATAGTTCTAGTGAAATTACGAAGCTTAATAAGAAGCTGTCTGATCAATATTGACAGCAAGTCTTAACTATCCATGTCTAAAAATAGTGAGACTTCCTTAAATTACCTGGTTGGTTTCTGTTAGTGTGGCGATTTCAGAATAGGAATTCACCCGTTACCCTTTCTACCTCCTAGCTCCATATTTGGGGAGTCAAGTTTGGAGGTATCTGTGACTGAACCAGTGGTCTGATTCTCAGCATTTTCCTCATTCCTCTAGGAATTATTGTCACTTTGTTCTTAAACCACTATAAAGCTGCCCCCCATGGAAATTTAGAAATCTTCCTTAGAAGTTTTCAAAAATAGACTAGCATCTCATTTTCCAGGTTGCTTAAAGTCAAAATGGCATCCCTGAAGCTATTACAAAACTAATTCTATAAATTGTTCAGGGTAATCTGGTTGCTTTCCCTAATATGACATCTGCCTATAAATCAGAACACTTCAGTTCTAAGGATACAATGAAAAATGAGAGCATGGGCTGTGCTTGAAAGAGATGTGTGCTCCAAAGAAGGCCAAATTTTAGGTTCTGAGAGGCTGAAACCCAAAAGGCAAATTCACGAAGTTAAATGTAATAAAATCATAAGAAAAAAATACATAAATGGATGGGGAATTAACAAGAAACATTGAATATTTACTTAAAAGTTTAAATACAAAAAAAAAAAACCCTGGGCTGTGATCATGAGGTAATTCTGTGGATTCTCTCTAGAGCTAAGAGGGCCAACAAAGCATGGAGAACCGCGAACACTACGCAGGGAGCCCTTGGCCCTCGTATCCCTTGGGATGCTGATTTCAGGCTTTGGAAGGCTGGACAGCCTCAGGGTTGGATCAATTTAGGGCTCTGGGAGAGATTCTGTACCATAAGGTAGGGGGCCTTACTTACCCCAAAGAGAACAATTAAAGAAATGCAATGTAGCGCTACTGCCTTTTATCCATTTAAATATTTAAATACCTAATAACAGCATTTATTGAGCACTTACTGTTTGCCTGATACAATTTTAAACAGAGTGTATGCATTATTTCATTTAATCCTGACAACAGCCGTGTCAGGTCGATTCTGAAATATCCATTTTGAAGAAGAGGAAACTAAGGCAGGAGAGTGGAAGCATTTGCCCGAGCTTTTACACACCCAGTGAGCAGCAGAGCTGGCATTCACACGCAAATCGCCGGGTACAAGTCTCCTTAAGTTTTACCACCAGAGTATCTACCTTTTCTATCAATGAGTTTATCTGTCAATCTCCCTCTCTATCCGTGTTTACTTCAGCCTAACAGGAAAGTAAAAGAATCTGAACTCCTATGACTTGAATAAACATTCCAATTTGCTATTCTCCTCAGGCCTCGTGGGCACCACTTTAATCTCAAGGCTACGTTACTAAATCTTCAGTGAAATCTTGAGCTTTTGCCCCCATTCGACCCTTATCGTGAAGTCCTGAAAATACCTGGGGAGCCACCAGAGTCACAGATCGAAACAGGCCATTGCGAAGAGCAATTTAAGGCTTATAATTCAACGTCCACTTCACTTTCTTGACTCAGAGCTTGCTTTGTCATGCTACTCGCCCCTGGGTATTAATTCTGTTCTTACCCATGTCAGATACAGTGATTGGAACCATGTGAGGGCTGTCCTCTCTTCATGCAGATAAAACAATGAATTGATATCCATTCAGTGATGAGACCGTTTTGGTTTTAAATTACTTTTCTGGCGCCGTTACAGTGTAATGACTATCGCAGCATTCCAAAGCTGCTTCTCCCTCTGATTTTCCTCCCAATGTACAAGGCAGCCCCATTTATAATGGTTAAGTAGCTTAAGTGTGTCTTTGTCCACTCTGCTTGGTTTGTCACCTTCTCTCTTTTCAGAGGTTGTTCTCAGCATCCTGACTGCATAATGCCAGCCTCGTACCTGGTGTGTTTATACTGCTTCCTCATTGCCACTGGCCAACGTGAACGGCCCCTGCTACCTCCCCTCCCACCCAGGGCTCTCATTAATATGCCTTCGTCTCACAAAAAGTCTTAAAATGAATTGCGTCTTGTCTTACCCACTGACCAAGAGCTTCCATTATTCCCATAAAACCGATTAGATAAAAAATTCAGGCTATTGTAATAATGGTAGAAGGTAAAAGAGGACCCCTCAGTCAAAACTTGTATGCCCCTGAGTCATAGCATGTAGGGAAAGGTCAGAGGACCTAAAAAATCTTTGAGGATTTATCAAAGTCAAAATACATGTGATGTTTGCTTCCTCTGTGTTTTCCAAACCTTCCTTCCTCACAGACTTTTTCCCCTATTTTTCCCCGTACTGCTCACTCTGTTGAAGGAATAGCTGTGGGTAATATTCAAATATTAATATTCAACTCAACCAGGGTCCATCCTCATGATCTCTTGCATGGAGTAAGTGGAGTCCTTCACTGTCACAGCAAAGCTCAAGCTGGCACACTGGTTTGGGCAGAGAAGTTAATGAATAGTGACCACTGATGCAGACAGAGTATCAAATGCAATTAATAGGTTTAACAAACAGGAGTAAAGTGGAGAATGATTCCCCCGCGTACTGAGGGATGGGTGTGCTCCAGGCTGGAGCTCCAGAAGTTGTTCTGATCATTTTCAAACACATGGACTCATCTATACAAGTTTTTGTTTATAAACAATATACAAACACGCACTCATTTCATCACATCCCTCCTTAACTATAAAAAAAAAAGTTGGAAAGGAACAACAGAAGAATGAAGTCTGGTTTAAAGCAGATAATTAAACAGCTGTGCTACCGTAAGACATCCCCTAAGAGACAAATGCACTTCTTCCATATTTAGTTGCTTCAGGCTGTGGGGAAGGAAAAGGAATTGTCGCAGGAAAAGAAATCTGCCTACTGATCCTGCTCCCAGGTCTCAGTGTTCACTCAGGATTTTCTGTGCCTCAGAAGCAAGTCACTCAGTGGCATTTTGTGAAAGATACCAGGAGAGTCTTATTTACTCAGAATGTAACAGTAGAGTCCCAAGAAAAGACTTGAAAATCATAGAATATTTTTAGCATGTCTTGAATAACAGCCTAATGACATATCTACTTGTGCTGTCAGTTTTATATAAAATAATATAATTAGCTTGTAGTTTGTTAAGGTAGAAGCACTAAAATTACCACTTTAAATAACAAATTCAAGTTAAACATATGTTGAGCATTTGCAGAAATAAAATGGAGATATAAAAATAACTGGGCAAACTTTCTACCTTAGGAGATACATCAGCGTCTCTTGACAAGACGGCAGAACCAAATAATTACCGTGGCATAGACCATTTAAACATAAGCATAACATTTAAGTTGCAAGGCCTTGGGACTCCAACAGCCTGAAGAATGGACTAGAATATCCAGAAATTTCAAATGAGATAAACCTTCTTTCTTTTCCAGGCCAAGAGTAGTAAAATCACATGTTACCACCCTCTACAGCTGCTCTTGAGGCAAGGAAGGGCCTACCACATATTTAGCAGCTGCCAAGTTCCAGGCATTGTGGTAAACTGTTGGCTGTCTGATCTCCCCATTTAACTTTTACAAGTCCCTGCAAAAGAGGTCTATTTAATTATCTCCAATTTATAGTTGGACAACTAATCACATACAGGCTACTTGAAAAATGTGGGCATTAGCAATGATAATGAAAGCTATTTTATTTTGTTCTATTTTAGCCTATGTCATGAAATGAGTGAACTGTTCCTGTGTTGCCTGGATCTTAATTGCTCACATGCTTCCACTGTCATGAGTGTGCGAGCCCCCCTTCCTGCTTAGTCCTGGCAAAGTTCTCTGTGCCAGTCCATGGAGACGGGTGTCCATTTCGTTGTCTTTTGGCTTAAAATAATCAGGAAGACACATATTAGAAGTAATCAGTTGGAAGGTTAAATATTTACAAATGAGCCTTTTTGAGGACTAAATAAAAGATTAAGGGTTTCTTGGCATGGGAATGAGAGGGCTAGTAGGAAATGAATAGTCTTCTAGG